ACTTTCCAAGTAAGGAAGTCTCAGTCTTTTAACTTTTTCAGATATCTTTATCATTTCCAGCCAAGTCTTTCATCGCTATTTCACGGTTATAAGGTCAGCCTGGGCGCCTGCGGCATGGCAGGTCCTTGGGTCCGAGGACGCAAGAGGCCTGCATCCGAACGTCCTGACATACCAAGAAAGCGACCTCAAAACAAGGATCCGGATGAATCATCGAGAGCAGACATTTCGGTGCGAACAGAGGACCGGCAAACGACGCTATTAGGTTCTGGCCAGGAAGTGGCCATTACCATGGAAATCTCCAACTCCGACACAGGTACTTTTGTGAACCACAAAGCTTTGCCAGAAAAGGTCTGATGAATCTGAGGCACACTAGATCGGTTTTCTCCGCCCGGAAGACGACAAATCTTCCCTACCTTGTCCTCCCACCGTAAGGCACCGCACCCTCACTTGGGCATCTTGCCTTTCTTCCACCTAATTGTACATTCAGGCATACTCTCGCTCTCCAGGAACCCATCAAGTGTCGAGTTCACTAGTGAGGCAGGCAATGAATTATCAAAGATGTCGAACTTCGTCCCTAGTGCAAGCGTTCGGGAGAAGCTTCTTCTGGGAATCAAAATCGGCTCGCAACGAAGGGCAAAATTCGAAGCACTCCACCGCGAGGACAAGAATGACTATAAAAATGAGTCTCCCAACGATGTCATCGCGATCGATAATATCCGGTCGACCGATTGGACTCTCGAAATTCCTTACGACCTTCACCAAGAGGCTGTTGGTGCTAGTGCCACACAGCAAGTCGTGTCGATGGGGCTCGAAAACCAGCCCACCGTATATGATGACAGGGGGAAACTGGGTCCCGACAAAAGAGAGATGCGCGTCAAATGGCTTCGTCACCATCAGGCAAGACTTCCATTCGTGTAAGTCAAGGAGCGTTTTCTCAGCGTTGGAAGTCTCTACTAATATTAACTAAGTCAAGGAAGTGTGCGCCGACTGAAGGCGGCGCTCGGCGCATTCAACGAGACTCCTTACAGAATACAGGGAATGACGAGTCTCCGACGAGCCGGTCAAGTCATGAACGTTGAATGGAGACAAGGCCCACGAGGCCGGCAAATGAGCATGAACTTCAGTGCCTTTCAGGAAAGATCCAAAGAGACCAACGGATATCGAAGGCGTACCATACACTCAATCCATTTTCAGAAGGAGGACAACGCTCAACACAAAGACTTCGGTCCACCACTGGATGCTGGAAACGCCCAACAACACCAGGAGAATCTTAGTACGGAGATGTACTTTGGACATGAAGAGAACCATCCGATGGCCATGCATGATTTTGAAATGTAAGTCCACCCACCTGTAACACCGCTCCTCTCATGTTGAATTAATACTGAGTATTATCAAAGAACCGACGCCATTGGCAAGAACCGCAGATGGCTTTGCATCGAAATCTCTAGGCCACTGGTGCAAAGCGACGGTCCGGTTCCCCTCGACCTCGATCCGATGCCACTTTCCACCATCAAAATCGCGGTACCAGTCGACAAGGTGACTGTGATGCCCAATCCTTGGCAACATCAGATGACCCGCGACATAGCTCCAGATCAAGCGGCGGTTCCCCGACTCGGAGACTTCTCGAACTCCACTTGCGGCTCATATAATGTGCCAGGGGAATCAGCAAGATTGAGATTGAAGCTGAGTAAAGACGGCATCCCCATTTTCGTGACCCAGTCGAAAGTAGACCAAATTCCGGGCCATCAGATAGTGGAAGACTTTTTAATGACAGATAAAGTGCCCGGCCTCCCTTGGAAGGAAACAGACCGAAGAGCCAAAGCCGAAACCAAGGTTAAGCGGAAAGGGGAGTTTTGGGAGCGCGTTGGTCAAGCCGCACAAGAGAACAGGCTGCAGTGGATATCTCTCCAGCAAGCGATGGCCAGAGACAGCTGCTTGGTGGACATCATTTTCAAAGACGAATGGATTGATATTCCTGCAAGAATTGCGGCCCGAGACCTTTCACGAGATCCCTCTTTCGCCCAGGTCCCGGCACAAATTCCTCGGCATATACGGGCGAGGCCGAGTGTTCAGCCCACTGGGAGATATCCGAGTCCTGCGAGCTACCGTCCAGGAAGTTCTGGGCTTAGGAACGAAGTTACGATGTAGACTTGGGCATCACTAGGTATCATGAGAACGACGGGACTTTATTGGTGAGGAGAGCTGAAAAGGGCGGCGTCCGTGATAATCAGTATTATCTGCAGCCCTCTTGCATTCTGACAGGAGGAAACCGAGAAAATTAGCATCATTCACGGCGTTTTTTCGATAAGTATTATTGAATAATATTTCGGGGCATTCGTCTGCTCCTGAACCGTGCAGTGATTGGTGTGAAGCAAGGTGTTGGAAGAAGTGTACTTTGGTACCTGAGGCTAAAGAAAGTGGGTTGCATCGGTGTGGTGCGTCAGAAGCCAGGTGCGGGAAGCTCGGTGAACACCACCGGGAATAGGTTCCGCCGTGCTCCAGCTTCATCCCGCCAAAAAACAAACCCGCCCAGCGAACTTTTTAGAAGCCCGGTGCCTTGAGGAGCAGCAACAATACCCCCGCCATCTCCACGATTTCCCTTGCAACGGTGAAGTCCTTCGCCGAAACAACTATCAAAGACAATCCGGATTTCCATTAGATTTTTCTGAATTTGTCGTCGCCCATCATGCAAGCCCCTGTGCTGGTTATGAGTACTGCAGCCCCTCCTCCCGCCGAGCTTGATGAGCTACCCCCCATGTTACGCGGTGATGCTGACCATATCCCTCTCCTTAGACACCAATAGCGGTGAGCGGCAGACGGGTCGCAAGGCCCAGATGTCCAACATCGCTGCTGCTAAGACGTACGTCTGTCCTGTTCGAATACACCGCCGTACGAACCAACTGACCCCGCGTTCCCAGCGTTGCCGACATTATTCGATCATGCCTCGGCCCCAAGGCCATGTTGAAGATGCTCTTGGACCCTATGGGAGGCATCGTCCTCACAAACGATGGCCACGCCATTCTCAGAGAAATCGAGGTCTCCCATCCCGCAGCAAAGAGCATGATCGAGCTCAGCCGGACGCAAGACGAGGAAGTTGGTGATGGCACCACGACGGTCATAATCATGGGTGAGCAAAGCTTCGAAATCCGCGCGCACTACAAATGCTGCTTATCAAGCAAGAGTAACTCACACTTCCTAGCTGGTGAGATCCTCGCCCAGTCCCTGCCCCAGCTCGAGCGCAACATCCATCCCGTCCAGATCATCGCTGCCTTCCGCCGCGCGCTGAAGGACGCCCTCGAGATCATCGACGACATTTCCCTCCCCATCGACGTTAACGACGACAAGGCCATGCGCGGCCTCATCTCCTCTTCTATCGGCACCAAGTTCGTCTCGAGATGGTCGGACCTGATGTGCGACCTCGCCCTCAAAGCGGTCCGCACCGTCACGTGGGAGGCCGGCAACGGAAAAACCGAGGTCGACATCAAACGTTACGCGCGTGTGGAAAAGGTTCCCGGCGGCGAGATCGAGGACAGCAGAGTGCTGGACGGTGTTATGCTCAACAAGGACATCACCCACCCCAAGATGCGCCGGAGAATAGAGAACCCCAGAATTGTCCTCCTCGATTGCCCCTTGGAGTACAAGAAGGGCGAGTCGCAAACCAACATTGAGATCTCCAAGGAGGAGGACTGGAACCGTATCTTGCAGATCGAGGAAGAGCAGGTCAAGGCCATGTGCGAGGCCGTCCTCGCTCTGAAGCCTGACTTGGTCATCACTGAGAAGGGTGTCTCAGGTACGCAATCTCAAGAAGCGGGATTCAGGGGTTAGTTTTGGCTAACGTCTAGCAGATCTCGCCCAGCACTATTTTGTGAAGGCCAACGTTACCGCGCTCCGCCGTGTCCGCAAGACGGACAACAACAGAATAGCCAGAGCCACGGGCGCCACCATCGTCAACCGTGTCGACGATCTCCAGGACTCCGACGTCGGTACTCTCTGCGGCTTGTTCGAGATTGAGAAGATTGGTGACGAGTACTTCACCTTCCTGACCAAGTGCCAGAACCCTAAGGCCTGCACAGTGCTCCTGAGAGGCCCATCCAAGGACGTGCTGAACGAGATTGAGCGTAACCTCCAGGACGCTATGGGTGTCGCCCGTAACGTCATGTTCAACCCCAGACTTGCTCCTGGCGGTGGTGCGACCGAGATGGCCGTCTCTGTGCGGTTGAGCCAGCTTGCAAAGGGTGTTGAGGGCGTTCAGCAGTGGCCGTACAAGGCTGTCGCTGATGCGCTCGAAGTCATCCCCCGTACCCTGGTGCAGAATGCCGGCGCCAGCCCCGTCAGAGTCCTGACGGATCTGCGTGCCAAGCACGCCGAAGGCAAGCACTCCTGGGGTATCAACGGAGACAGCGGTGTGATTGCGGACATGAAGGAATATGGCGTCTGGGAGCCGGAGGCTATTAAGTTGCAGAGCATTAAGACGGCTGTCGAGGTATGTGGTTTACATCTACAAGATATTACAAGGTTTTACGACACATCAACTAACACGTTTACCAGGCCGCCTGCCTGCTCCTCAGAGTCGACGATATTTGCAGTGCGAGAAAGGCTGCGCAAGTAGGCAACGGTCTGCACGGTGGTGGTGACGAATAAGATGCCTGATGAAGTCAGTCGGCTGGTATTCTGGTGATAGTGGGAAACTACAACGTGTGTTGCGACGAGAAGAGATGATGAAGGGGGGAAAATGAAGGGGAAAAATATTAAGCCATACCCTATACCAAGGCATAGACATGGGATTAGAAATACCTAGACGACGACGACGTTCTCGGGCATTGTTTTCAAAAAAAAAAAAAAAAAAAAAAAGCTTTGATGCTTTGATCGGGGCTCTGCCTGCTTGTGTCTCCTGTCACTGCGCAGTCTGTCAACCCTGGACCCACCCGTTTGATCTGAAGTTATTTTTGGGGATGCCAAGCCAAGCTTTAAAGCTCAAGCCCATTAACATCATGGATGAATCAGTCGTCGTCGTGGATGACGAGACCGGAGGGTTGAGCTGTAGCGGTGGTCTTTGACTCCATGTTTCTACCGCCGTCCCTGTATTCCTTGGCATCGCCGTCTGCCTTGGTTGTAGATGTTTCCGCCAAAGTCGGCTTGTCTGCACCACCGCTTGGCACTGCCGGCGCCTTTGGGCCGGCTGCAGCAGGGCCTTTCTTGCCCCTCTGCTTCTTCTTCTCTCTCTTCTCTCTGTTCTTGCGTGTACGCTCCTCGTCCTTGGCCTCGCGCTCGGCCTTTTGACGCTCAAACTCCTCGTTATCCTTCTCTTGCTTCACCTCCTCGTCCATGGCACGCAGTCGGTCATACTCGCGGCGACGGCTGGCTTTGTAGACATGGAACTCGCCCGAGCCGGCTCCGGCGCTGGAGCCCTGGACGTTAGTCACGATTTCGGGCGGGGCATTGACGGCGCGCCTGGCGACGGCGCCGGGGGGTGGGGGGATGCGGATCTCCTGGTCGGGCTTGGAGAAGAGGGCGTCGAGCTGCTTCGCGTGCTCGGTGACGGGGGTGAGGGCGCGCTTCTTGACCGGGCGCCGGCTGCGCGGGTCGGCGGAGGTGGGGATGGACTCGGGGCCCTCGCCAGACATGGTTGCTGCTGGTGCTCTGGCAGGTGGGAGAGAGATGTGGGAGATTTGCGAAGGCGGTGGTGGTATTTGCGGGGTGTTGGGGATGTTCCAGCAAAAGATGGCGCGTTACGTTGAGATTGGGGTCGTATGATTGTGGGATGAGACCAGGTCGGGAATGGGCTGATTCGATGCTGGGAGGCAACCGAACAGAGATCTGCTATGCAGTCGGACGGGCGCGAGAGATGGATGCGTCGTTGGGATTGTTTGTTTCTCTGTCTGGATTCCTGTGTTGGCGCCGTAGGGCGGTCGGAAATTTCCGTAAGTGCAAAAGTCGTCGCGCCGGAGACACAAGAGGGAAGGGATTGTCGTTCGTCGTACTTGGCACGTTGTTGGAGGTGGCACGGCACTGTTGTGTTGGAGCGGACGGCGGCTAAGCTTGAGGGAGAGTTCCGGGGTAGTTGCGGCGGCTGTCGTTCGTATGTTTCCTCGCGTCAGTGGAAATCTGAAGGATGGAAAATGAGAAGCATGTGGAATGGTGTGGGTGCGGTGGGGAACGTTGTCGAATGACGGTGCGGCGTTGCGGGAATGGGCGGTTCCAGGCACGCGTCTATCATGAGTGACACGCGCAGAATGTTGTAGAGCGAAATGCGACACACGGCGCAGTATGGGGTTGCACCGGCAGGGCGTTGGGCGGCAAGTGGACAAAAAGAATCGAGTGTCTGTCTACCTATTTTAGCAGAAGGACGTGTGGGGCCCTGTGTGTAAAGCAGTCCACTGAGACTTCCGTCTTTTGCTTCAAGATTGACTGGAGCGACGTCGACACAGCGTGAAGGAGCTGGAAGGGGGGGGAAAGGCTGGAGAGGGCATTTGCATCGTGCAGTGCAAGTGCCGCCGCCATGCCGCTGAGAGGGTGGGGCATGGAGAGCAGCCTCGCCGCTCATCGGGGGGCCAGTGCGCCAATCAGGGGCTGCGGATTCCCTGTCTCAAGGCGGCTGCCGGGCCTTCAAAAGTGTTGTCTCTGACGTCTGGTTGGCTGGTTGGCACGTTGGGATGCCCCGATGTACCCCGCCGCAGCAGGGGCAGCAGGGGAGCGATGGATACAGATGAGATGCCCGGTGCCTGTCCCCGGAAAGACAGGGCTTCAGATTGAAAACCAGCCCGCCAAAAAAGCCGCCGCTCAGTGGGACGAGGGGTCCTTTGGATGTTTCTGCTGCTGCTGGGCATGCCAGAAAAAATTACGGCCGACCGACTTGTATGGAGTACCTGTGGTGGTGGCACAAGTACCATGCCACCGGGCGGCGGACGGGAACCAAAAATACCTGTCACACGGAAGGGGGCACGCAAGAAAGACGCCAACGATTGGTGTACAGTGCAGCAGCAATTAGTGCCTGACAGGAGGCGACCTCTGTCAAAAAGAGTCACTGCACTCTTCCATGTCGCTCTCGTCACACAACCAACACACACATACACACTCGCACACTCGCGCGCACACACACAATCCCATCTTGTGACTCTTAGCTACTCCTTGCTACGCTTTACGTATCTTGTACCTAAATCAAACTCATCTCATCTCAACCTCTCAGGGCCTGTTGGTTGACAATCCGTTGACGCCTTTCCCAAGCAAGCACCACCCTTCTCAGACCCTGTCCGTAAGGTTAAGGTTGGCATAAGGCGATACAAATACAACGGCAGCCCCTCCTAAGGTTTTCCTCTCAACCGCCAAACTCCTGCCCCGCCTCATTCCTCTCTTCACTCTTCCCGGTCAACAAGGTTCTCAACGCTACTCTTTTGCGACCTGCGGCTGAATTTTGTTGCCCTTCTTCGACACCGCGAATGATACCCCGGCCATAAGAAACTCCTTCGTCCCACCGCATCACATTGTAATCATCGCACCGACGCTGTCCCTTCGCTTGAACAATACCAGGTGGCGCTTTACAAAGTCTGCGAAACCACAACCTGTCAAAAGTTGACAACATGGCGAAGCCGAGACTCATTATCCTCATCAGACACGCCCAGTCCGAGGGCAACAGTATGCCAATCCCCTTCGTCCGAGACGTGTGTGCGCCCGGATTGCTAATCAAAGCTCTTTGAACAGAGAACCGCGACATCCACCAGACGATACCTGACCACCGTGTGAAGTTGACACAAGATGGCTGGCAACAGGCCTACGACGCCGGCCGACGCCTGCGCAAGCTTCTGCGAGCCGATGATACCCTCCACTTCTTCACATCCCCCTACCGCCGTACTCGCGAGACGACAGAGGGCATCCTCTCCACGCTGACGTCGGACGAAGAAGACCCCTCACCATTCAAGCGTTCCAATATTAAGGTCTACGAAGAGCCCCGCTTGCGCGAGCAGGACTTCGGAAACTTCCAGCCCTGCTCCGCCGAAATGGAGCGCATGTGGCAGGAGAGGGCAGACTACGGTCATTTCTTCTACCGTATCCCCAACGGCGAGAGCGCCGCAGATGCCTACGACAGAGTTAGTGGCTTTAACGAGAGCTTGTGGCGCCAGTTCGGAGAGAACGACTTCGCCAGCGTTTGCGTGCTCGGTAAGTCTTCAGACCAACGGTCAGGTAACTAAGCTAATCCATAACGCATAGTTACCCATGGCCTCATGTCCCGTGTCTTCCTGATGAAGTGGTATCACTTCACCGTCGAGTACTTCGAGGACCTGCGCAACGTGAACCACTGCGAGTTTCTCATCATGCGCAAGCAGGAAGAGAGCGGCAAATACATCCTCGAGAACAAGCTCCGAACGTGGTCTGACCTGCGCAAGGAGCGCGCCCAGCTCAAGGAGAAAGAGGAAAAGGAGAAGACTGAGGTGGAGGGAAACCAAGAAAAGACGCCCAGAGACGCAAAAGCGTCGACTCTTCTAGAGCGCAGTAAGACCTTCATTGTGACACGTCGCTGGGGTGGCTGTCCTAACGGATGCAACCACAAAAGCCACTACCAGAAACGCGAAGATCTAGACGCCCTCCGCCAGAGGGATGAGACTGCAGCAAACGGTCACAGTGTTGCTAACGGTCACTCCCGCCACCAGTCACCTACGCCTGGCCGGAGAACGAAGCGAATCGAGCAGGGCTACAGCTCTGACGAGGACAACGATAACCGACCCCCGCAGATCGACATTAGCCGATCCCGCCAAGAGGTAGTGTCGTCCCCGGATGGCACTCCATCCTTCATCTCCGCCGAAGACCGTCTTCGCAGCATGATTTCGCCGCACCTTCATGCTGGCCGTGATTTTGGCGGCACGTTTTCGGGACGGACGTCTGTGGCAGGCAGCGACACAGATTCATCGGAGGAGGACGGCCACAGACCACAGATTGCGGCCGTCACCGCCAAAGTAAAGGTCCTGGCCGTCTCCAACGGGACCGGCCACAGCGCGAACGGAATCAACGGATGTGACAACGGCGTTGCCGACAGCAGCACGAACGGGGGCACAACACATACTCAGGAAGTACAGGTGTCGGAGAAGGAGGGTATGCGTCGAGGAGCACGCGCAAACCGCCTCGGAGACGCCCACAGCAGTGACTTGGGTTCCGAAGCGGACGACGATGACCTGGCCCGTGCTGAAAAGGAGGATCGTAGCATCAGGGGTAGTGTTTACTAGCATGGAGTGGTTCTGTTGAATTTTCTAATGACTGGCGGCCCTGTCGGCGAACCGACACGAGGCCTTTTCTTGGTATGGCGCATCGTCTTGGAGTAGGATCTGGATGCTTCTCCTGGCTCACGATTAACCAGCATGCGTGAGTGCGGCACCTACGCGATAGAAGGGGCATGGGTCTGTTCATCAACGGCGCTTTTCTCTTGGCTTCGTTTTGGTGATATGAGGATATACCTAGATTGGATGACGCTCATAGACAAAAGGCAGACACGTACGTGCCAGAAACGAACAAAGTTTTGAAATAGTATAACAGGATATTGCCCCTGCAGGTAGCGATCCTGGTTTATAAGCTTGTTGTCGAGGGCTAGACTCTAAAGCTTGATTCTAAATTAACATTGACGTGTCAAGTCGTTTGTCAGTTCTCAGGGGTCGGGGTCTCAAGGTTGTCTGCCCACAGATACGAACTTCACAGTTCTCCTGATGTATCGGGAAGGCGACCAGCTATCGGGCGCTTGGCTTAGGTTAGAGCTTCTCTAGAAAGCTTCCTTTATCTATTTGACTGATCCCATCGTTGGGCACTGACGAGACGCAAAGGCTTGGGCGTTGGGTTTGATCCGTCGAGTAGGAAAACTTGCTGGGACTTTGGAAGAGATCGCGTGAAATGCTTTTGGTGGCTTGTATCTGGCCTCGATGTAGCCATCTGCAAGGGACCACGGATTTGCGAAATCGATACCTGGGGAATGTCCGGGTAATCTTTCAGGCATTTTCGACTTGGCCATTGCCAGGAGCTTTAAAGTCAACGTTAAATATGTCAGCTTGACTTCGAGTTCACCTGTCTTCGACCGACAACGTATTTTCGCGATTTTCGTCGCCGCGCATTTAGGCTCATTTTCAACATTCAACATCCCTTTTGTTGCTGTCATTGATCTGACGTCTCTCGTCTCCGTTTAACAGCGAAGAGCCCGTACTTACTCCTTAAAATTCGTCAAGACCCATCAATGTGTGTCCCTCGGAACCATCTTATCCAATGTAGAATCTGGTCTCCTTTTTCCTTTACTTGTCGAATCAAGTTTCGGGGATCTCCAATGCCACCGTCAAATTATCGCTTAGTGACTAGCATTTCCAGCTTTCATATGTGTAGTGTCCGAGAACGTCCAAACTGGAATTGAACATAGTGGATCAGAACAGTATCACATCAGATAATGGCGCGTAAATGACAAGTATTGTGTATACTGATATCGTGTACTTACACTTCGTACAAAATACACCAGGGTACCTCTTGGGCAAGAGCATTCGCTATACGTTTCTTATAGTGCATGGGTATCCAAGCACGCTTCGTTGCCGAGTCGTACTCTTCATTCATTCTTTTTTCTGAAAGGCCCCCATCAGGCTACTCTATGTTTCTCTTTGTGGAAAAGCCATTTCGAAGGCTGGGTCTGTATGCTTACTGCTTTCATAGAACCTACATCTGGCTCGTAGATCTGAAGACATGGAAACCTTCAGCAAAGATCACGGCAATACAAATTGCTTCTTGTATCTCATAGCTCCTGATATACTCGTAATCAAGTAGGAACACTTGGTGCAGCCAGTAAACGTCTCTTTGGGTATTCATTCGGTTACCAGACTTGTATCTCGATGTTGACACGCGAGTGAGTAGCGACTCCTCATGCCCAAATGACTTCTGTCACTTGATCAGGAGTATGAGGCGTGTTTCTTTATACAGCCTCGTCCATTTTTGGTCCACTGGGAAGCAATCGCATGTGTCGAGAGTCACTACTGATAAAACTTGGGTGTTTCCAAGCCTAATAGGGCTCTTTCTTTCTCACCAGCAGCTCTGTTGCCCTTATCTTCACCGTGTCTGTGCATATCTATGGCCCGAACCTCACTTGATCTTGCTCCTGGAACGGTCATTATTTGCGATGCTCTTTACTTCCCAGCGAAAATCGTGGGTTGAGAGGTAGGTGTCGATGCTTTTGACCGCGGGATCACATCACATGATGAAGTAGCTGACCTTGCGTCAGTCAGTCATAGCCGACCAGGGAAGCCGAAGTGCAGTTGGACAAATAACATTCCACTTGACACTCTTCAGATTCTGCGTGAGAATCAATAGCGGATAATGACAGGAAACTTTCAGATCCCCAAATTTGGTCAACCACTGCTAGGAGGAAGGCCCTGTTAAATATCCAGCTCAATCATCTTTCTAATCTTGCAGGACGTCGTGATCAAACAGCTTGCGCTATACATGTTTCAACTTGCGTCAACGAAGGCACATTCTGAATACTGCCTGTACTGACTTCCCTTGCCAGCAATACTTGTAAAGCGTGAAACACAGATCTAGTTTTCATTTCCAGATCCTACGCTCGTACTTCCAATGGCATTGGATTTTGCCAAGTGCAAGCGTACCTCAGCCTCCCAAAAACGACATCATAATCCTTATGAACGTGGTACTGCGATGGGAATCAAACAACGGTTCCCCAACAGGCCAGACATTGCCATCGACCCGGACGACGGCGAGACACACAAGACAAAGACCGTAACACGGCACTTGGCCAGACCGCACGGCCGAAACCCGACGATTGCATGATCGTGGCGCCTCAACCGGCGGCTGGCTGCAATAAAAAGACACGGGTATGTCAACCCACCGTCAGGCTTTGTGTTCGTGCGACTGGCGGCGTGGTGCGACATGCCAACCTGTCTAGTCTCGCCTACTCGGCTATGCTCTTCTGTAGAAGCATTCTATCCAAGAACTGGAACTATGCTCCGTCTCGAGTATTCTAGCGAGGGAACGATGATCTGTCTACGATAGCCTGCTTGCTCGATGTGCTCCAGTAACGCCTGCCGGGTCTGAAGAAGCAGCTCGCCGAAGACATTTCTCATCCCATCATGTGTCGTCGCGGTGATGCTTCAATAGCTTCATCTCCACAATAGGCAGAGAGACTCCGCAAGCTCTCGGTAAGAACCTCTCCATGGCACGCACAGCTTCTCCGAAATCTGGCAAACCAGTCCGCGCTCTATACGAATGAGGCACTTGACAAGGGTATATCGATTAGCTCAACTTGGTCTCCTGAAAAGACCTCCGGCATGGTCACCGATCTGTCCTTAGCCGTATCACGCCTTCTTCTTTCTCCGCTTCATCGAAAGGGTACTGGTATGATGAAAGATACAGCCTGCCTGTTCCCAAGAAAGCTTTCGTTACCCCTTGCCTCTTACCTACCGACGTCTCTCATCACATCTCACTTTCACGAACCCCGCGCCAGACCTGACCGGTACCACCAATCTCGGACGGCACCTCGCATGTAGATGATGACTCCATCGTGAGAGAAAGGCGGGCGGGGCTCGGTATCCAGGTAGCTGGCTGGAATGGCTTCTGCCGAGCAGCTCGCTCGCTCGCACGCACCGCTTGGGCCCCCGCCCGCTGCGACCAGCCCCGGCAGACCGAGAAGCAAGGGGGCGAGCAACACGCCGCCGTCCTCCGACCGAAGCTGCCGCCTCCCGTCCAAGGTTGGGGGCAGGCTTTCCCCATGCCCACCGGTGTGGAACCTTGCTCCGCGCGCCGGAGCTCGCCTTGCCGGCTAACGACAGCCAGGAAAAAGAAAAGCCGGTCCCTCACCGGTGTACTGCGTAGCCTCCATTTTGCTGCACCCCTCATCTGCGGGCTGATAGTCGCATGGAATGTTTCCCTCTCTTTGCTTTTTTTATTTTTTATTTTTCAAGATCTGTTCCTCACAAACTTTACCCCCCTCTTTGCGCAATTTGCAGAGAAACCGTTGCCATAACCCAAAAATTCTTCGGGGGAGCATAACTTCCGACACAGCTCATCTCCCATGTTTCTCAATCGGTCGGCGCAACTTCAGCCCATGGATACCGAACGATGCTACACCCGCGTCTACCCATTTGGAAACGATCAGCACAGAGGCAGACAGCCGGCTTAATATCCGTAGAACGTTCAGGGGGGGGGGCTTTTGACCTGATCAGCGCAGATTCTCTCACCATGGCTGAGATAACGCAACATCCAAGATAGACGAGCAATGTTCTAGGCCCAGCGTCTCGGGAGATGGACGGGTCATCGATTGGACCTCAACGTCTGCCGCTGCGCCCTCGGCCAGGCCCGGCCCCTGCGTGAAGGAGCATGGCAAATTTCCTCCAGCCCGGCAGAACTCAACAGTATTTTGACGACAAATATTCCCGTCACCTGGTACCAAAGCATCCAATATCAACATCATGGGGAGGGAAAAAGTAAAATTTCAACAGCTCGTGGCCGCTCAGCCAGTCGATGAATCACTGGATCACTCGGCCCAGTGAGCCAAGAAGCAAGCTTCTGGGCCCACCCAACATCTTGTCCTTCCCACCCTTGCCCATCCCGACTGGAGGGTTGTGTTCCTGGCAGATTCGGCAGGAGGCGCGTCGAAAAGAAAATGCCGAAGTCGATCAGCAGCAGACCGAGACGGGCGCCCTGCCCTCCACTGGACGTCCCAGCTGACGGCCGGGGGGCAACTAAGTGCCTTCACACCTTCGCCCACGAGCTTGCTTGCTTACTTGCTTGGAAACCAGAGTGGCCCGATGAATCCTCTTTTTGAGGAAATCCGCGGACGAGGCTGGCTGTGTAGGCGAAGCTGTTGCGAAACCTGGTTTTGCCTCGTCATGTTTCGTCATGAGAGCCGGACATGCCAGGTGAGCCAAGCTTGTTTCCTCCTCCAAAGAAGGTGTGTAGGGGGTGGTGGTGAAGAGGAACATACAGCGTCAACCGCAGTCAGCTCTCTGCCTCTTTGGTTGTTCACGGTGTGCCCGGTCAGCCCGGTCGGATGCAAGCCACACCTTGGTCCACACCTTCATGCCCCCATCAGGAAGAGGTGTCGCCGAACGGTGATGGGCCTGTATTACCTGAGCATCCATATTTGTGCCTGTAGTAAGCTGGTGGCGAGCTAGGAGTGATAGATAGGAAAATGACCTCTGGACCAAAATGGCCGTGAGGGTTTGGTGTGAGATGACTGGTCGGCGGGGTTTGCGGAGAGAAGGAGGGGGCATCAACCACACGGTTGGTGTGGCAGGCCGGCCCAGGACTGGACGGGAGCTCTCGAACGCATGTGTAGATATCGTCCCTCCCCCGCTGTCCAATGACCAAGCGATGTGAATGCTGAAGAGGGGTTTGGCAGTGGTGTTGGTGGCCGGGAATCTGCACACTCGTGCATCCCGTCACAGCTGCGTCCCTCTCCTTTGGGACAGGATGGGGGAAGGGCGGAGTGCAGGCGAAGGGAGAATGATGGACAGCCCATTATGGCACGAGAAGCAGGCCAGAGAGCTGCACGCCTTGCATCTCGAGCATGCCTCGTTTAAGCTGAATAGGGACGGTGGCGCCTCGCTTGTTCACTGAGATGGATCACTGACGAACACGTCCCGTTGTGCAGCGACTGCGACCTGTTGTGGTCTCGAGACAGACGACCGCCAATTGGCTTGAGAAAACGAGTGAGATGCGGGAATTGGAGGGGGGAGTGAATACCAGTCGACCACCGGGATGAGGAATCTGTGAACTCTTTTGCCACGCTCAATGTCAGGGAATGTTGGAGAAAACACACCTTGGAGGAAGAAAGCTGAAACTTACGAGACCAACGGCGGCCAGGACGGTGCGCGCGTGCGTGTGCCTTCCCAACCCTCCAACGGTCTCAGCCCGCTAGTGAATGTCATCCAGTGGCGCAGGTCTCTGGAATTCGGGTAGTCTCGAGAGAGGTAGCATGGTAATGACTTATATGATCAGTAGTCATAATACACTAGGCCTAGCTTCACACCAGTGACCGTTAGAGAGACATTGTGTTGACTACTTTTCTTTCTCGCTTTCGCAGAGTGTCGGGGTTTGTCTCGCAAGAGGCAGGGTCAGAAAGGAAAGATGACCCGCGTGAGGGTGTCGTCCATCGAGGTCCGTTTCTGATACCGTGCAACCCTCTGAGAGGTTCGCCATCATATGCACGAGCGGGATTGGGGCCTTGGTGGTTTGGGCCTGAAGAACACGCGGCCTAGACGTTGGCCCTTCGCCTTCTGCGACCCCCAACCTCACCCCATCTCGTCAACGGGAGGACAGGCAACCTATGCAGCAGACCTGCATATTGTCGATGATGGTGAGACGGGCGCCTGATGAGCGATGTGCGTGAGTGTGTGTGGGTGTGGACGAACGCCTTCTAGGACTCGTTGAACATCCCGCAGCCGCAGGACGATTGGCATGGTTGGCTGGCTTGACTACCGCAGTCGTCTCCTTTCGCCGCGTTCAACCGTGTTGGGCCGGCCGCCTCTATGTTAACCCCCTATCGTTGATGAGATATCATCCGCAAAGTGGAGCGGGCGTGGATTGTCACAAAAGATGCGAGGTACAGAATGCGTTGCAAATAACATGGTGATCGGCCTCTGAAAAGCCCGAAGCTGGCTGCCACCCTGAGTCCTGCGTTTATGATAACAGAGCCAAGGGCGTGAGATTTCTTGCCTGACCGGAAACAGTCTTCGACAATTCGAAAGTGCCGAGCTGGACCCTAGGTAGTCGCAATCGAGACATACTGCTTACAGTGGCATCCACAATTTTTGGTCATTTCTCAAGACCGTTTCCACGAGCCATCGAAATGCTTTTCCATTTTTCTCAAGGCTAGCTCTGCCCTGCCCGCAGTCAACCCGTCGCAGGCCCCCTGGGAAGGCCAGAACGGCAGCGTCGGATGCCATGGTGTTCGGACACTAAGGCAGCGTAGGCGTGCAATTCCCGCGAGCCAGGATGCCAAGCCGCGCGTACTCTGTGGTGTCTGTTGCAAGGGCAAGCGGTATGCTTCATCCGAAAAGACCTGCAGATGGTATCACAACGACAAAGCTGACTGTCAGACTTTGGCCAGTCGCAGGAAGGTCCAGACACTGCTATGTCGAAAGAACGCTAAATAAGCAGTGTGCGTGATCGCCATCGACCAAGGCCAAACCCAAGACCTCCACGTCTAGGTTACAGCCAGGGCAGGGCAAGGCAGGGCCAGGCAGGGCAGGCAGCCACCTATCAACCAGAAACGCAACCTCATGGTGCCATGGCCCTGACATGTTCGGATATGCACGTCGCCCATTTCGTCGAGTCGTTTCTTTTGAACAAGGCGTTGGAGGAGGGAGCCACCATCGCCGATGCAGCCACGGCTGCAGCTCAATCCTGGCCATGCTGGGGTAACGAGAGACTGGCGCTTTGACGAAGACGGGTAAGCAGGTTCAAGGCCTTGTAATCAATAGTTGGCGATACTGGAATAGCATGGCGTCACGCCCGACGTTGATGCTATTCATGGTTGAGGCTGATCTTTTCTTGTCGGGATCTATCAACTAGTCTTTGTGTGTTTGTTGGAGAATTAGGGTGGGTTGGGAAGATGAGTTGTGCAAACCTCCGTTGGCGGTGCGATGATGGAGCGCGCGGCAGCGGCACCACGGTTCAGAGCTCGGCCATGGCATCGCTCTGCCCCTGCAACTTGGTAGGCGTTGCTCCGTATCGAGAAACAACAGACGAACAAAAATACCCCAGAGATGAAGCCAAGAACTGAGGCGCGGAATCCGAGAGACCCTTGCCAGCAATCAGTCAGTTCCCAGTCTCAGCTACCTGGCCCTAGGTAAGCTGCCTGGGTTAGAGTTGTCAGTGCTTATGTGAGGTCCTTTCGTAAGGTGAGAGTTATGGCTGGGGAGGAAACATGGGCAACGTGGGGAGGAAAACTACCATGGGAAAAGTAAGCCTATTCGATGCGAGCCATGGTTTAGCATCCCCCCCATCATCTCATTTCGCCAGTAATGCGGGGGAGGGAAATAACGTGACACAGATATGGGCGTCCCAGAAGCGTTGGCACGAAGTTGCCAATGATTCCCATCCATGCTACTCCTGTTCTCCCCTCCCCATGCCATGCCATGCCATGCCACGGCCTTCGTCAGCCGTGCGTCGTGTGCGCGGGCGGGCGTGACCCCATCTTGTCTTGATATGTCTCGCCGCGGCCAGAGTGCGACTGTGCTAAGGATTGGTTCAAAATCAAAGGAGACACCAGAAATGCGGAGAAGTGTTTGGATGCAACGCCATTTGACACGAACAGTGGACCATCACCAGATCACTTCTCAGACCTCGACTCCAAACGAGGCTTAGCATCCCAGCGGGTCTTGCACGGGCTAATCCTTTTTCTCTTCAATCTGCGCTGCGCCAGAGATAAACGAGTCTTGGGAGAACTAAGCAAACACACTTGCGAGGAGGAAAAGGAAATATTTCCAAGACACGACGGAGGGTTTCAAACATCTGGGGGGGTCATCTGCAAGCCGCAGCAACAATGACCAGCCTAACCCCGGCCATCTTGAGGTACGTATGTTGGTGATGTTGTAGGACCAACACCAACCACATCGCCATCATCACCGGCTTTCCCATTTGGCTCACTCGAGGTGCAAGGGGGCCAGGACAACACATTGTGAGACAGGAAACGCTGAACGAACGAGAAAGGAAAGAGAGCCGTCAAGCAAGGCTGAGGCGCGGGGGCGGCTGTGGTGGGATGATGAAGCAGACCGAGAGGCCTCGTCCATTGACAGTTAAATCCAGCCAGGTGGTTAGGCAACGGGCACCAGAGCGGCCCTTCACCTTGAGGGCCTTCCCGCTTGGGATCTCTTGCAGTTGGAAGTTTGCTCGTTTGCAGGTCAGCAACAGCCGCGCTTGGCTGTATTTGGCACATCTCACCTTGGATGCAGAGGCTCACATCAGCAGACGCTCTCACCTTGCTTCCAAAATAGGACATCAATTTCCATCTGACTGCCAGAGCCTTGCTGAGCCTGGCTGGCCATCGTCAATCTCGAAAAGAGTCTCCGACTCCGATGTGGACCATTGCCTAATGGAGACACGAAGTTGCAATGTCGTCACCGTCCAGCCCCGGGCCTGTGCTCCTCGTGAAGTCGGGGGTGGACGGGTGAGCTGAAGCTATTCGTACGCTGCCGCGGGCGAAACGCCTGAGCAGCTCTCTGTTCCCTTCGCTGGGGAGTTGATACGACTGTCCTAGTATCCGCACAAGCTAGGAGACAAAGCCCAGATGGGCAGGGCCTCCCCGGCCATTCGCACTCGCCAGGCCTGTTGCTCGCGCCAGTCGGCCATTTTCTTCGCACAACTTCCTGACTCTGGAGTTACACTGCAGGCCCAGGGGATTGTCGGCCAGTGCCAATTTGGACAGGCTGGCTGGCTCGCTCGCTCGCTCGCCGAGGGTTGAGAGGGAACGAAGAAGAAAGCACGACGAACTTGAGGAAGAGAGTGAGAGGGGCGTTGGGGGGGGGGGGGGGGGCTTGGCGCGACAGAGGGGTGTCTGTAAGCAAAGATGTGCCTGGTTGGTTGCTGACATGGGCATGGTATCCGTAGGAGGGCAACACAGAGACAGAGAGAGAGCAGGGGCTGTGAACAGCGATCGCGCTTACATGGTAGCAGAGATCGATTCAAGGCGAATGGCCACGGCGTCTTTGTGCAAATGATTTGCTCTGTACTTTCGGACACGACTTCTCCTTTGGTCCAGGACAGAAATTTTCAGTAAGAGTTGGTGAGATTGTTGAGTCGAGGTTAGAAAATTTTCTGAACGTCCATCCGCGGCTTCAAGGGATGAAAGGGGCTGAGTTGAGATGGGCAGTGGAATGTGCCGGAGGACCCTGAAAGTTTTAATTTTTCTTTACACTTTGTTAGAAGGCAACTTTGCTTCTGTTCTCTCAGGGGTTGTTGAATTGAGCGTGCCCGCAACTCACAGTAGACTTAGACTTTGGCATGCCAAGAAACATTCAAGATCCACGTGCTCGTAAATCCGAGGTCTACTATGCAGTAGATACCGGCGGGGGAGCAGCGGGCATGATGATGAGATTATGAGAGTCTCTGGCAGGGGCCATGGCCGATGATTCATCAATTGCATGCGCACCGCCGTCAAGGACGCCCTCGGCTGACGCCGTGATGCCTTCAAAACGCGCCCGCACTAAGCGACGAGCCAGAATCAAGCGCTCTGTCTCAGCCCTTCTTCGTCTGCCCGCACGGGGCAGCGGCGCATCCGTCGTTTGCCAACGGGACTTGGGGCTTGGGATGGCTCGGGAGTGCTGGGTGAGTCGTCCTCCGTGGCCTCCGTCCCCGGAATTCCCAACCAGGCTAGCCCTGGCATTCACAATCAAGCTGGAGGAACCGCGCAGCCATCGTCGTCCAATAGAGCGCCATCAGCGTTCAGAGGCTTTCTCAGCTCACCTGAGAGGGAAATGGCACCAGGAGCCTTCGGTGAGACACTGCAGTTGTGTTCTGGAGTATTCTAACCGACCGACAGCAGTGTCGCAGCGGACACTAGCGGGCTCTGTCGTTCGATCGACGCTCCCGGCCCTCCGCCTGATTGAGCCTCGATGATGAGCAATCTGAACTTCCTCGTTCTGCAGAATGTCTGGAGCATTTGCCAAAATGTCTGACCAGCAGGCGAGGCTTTGCTGCAGACTGCCGTCGATTAGGGGCTTTGCAGACCAATTGGAAATCTCTTCCTTGTCGATAACTTGGAAAATTTTGCTCGCATCGGAGGATTGTTGATTTGCCTCCCAGCCCACTCATCTTCTCTGGCCAAGGGCCAGGTAGGCCTGGACCAACCATTGATGCTCCCCCCCAGGCTGCTTTGGGTGGTGCTGTAAGTGAATGAGTCGCAGCTTGGCGTGCCCCCTATCAACCA